CCGCTGCAACTTCTGGGGTGGCGACCTGCCTTCCACGCGCTGGTCCACCGTCGTCTTGTAGTCCGCCGCGGCTAGGCCGCTGGGCGATGCCGAGGTCGAGCACCCCTGCACTGCCACAGCACGGTCGATCGCTTCCACCTGCTGCTTGATCTCTTGCGATGACATCTGCGACCGCTCGACCATCTCTGCCGCTGGGGTCGGCGACGCCCCCACCAACACCGGCGACGTCCTCCTCCCCCTCCTCCTCCTCCTCCTCCTCCTCCTCCTCCTCCTCCTCCCCCTCCGCCTCCTCCTCCATCCTCCTCCTTCCTCCTCCCCTCCTACTCCTCCTCCTCTCCCTCCTCCTCTCCTCCTCCTCCTCCTCCTCCTCCTCCTCCTCCTCCTCCTCCTCCTCCTCCTCCTCCTCCTCCTCCTCCGCATCCTCCGCCTCCTCCTCACTCCTCCTCCTCCTCCATCCTCATCCTCCTCCTCCTCCTCCTCCTCCCCTCCTCCTCCTCCCCCCCCGTCCCCTCCTCATCTCTCCTGCTCGCCTGCTCTCCCTCCTCCTCCTCCTCCTCTCTCCTCCTCCTCCTCCTCCTCGTCCTCCGTGTCCTCCTCGTCCCCGTCCCCCGCCTCGTCCCCCTTCATTGTCCTCGTCGTCCTCCTCCTCCTCCTCCCTCTCCCCTCCTCCGCCCCCTCTTCCTCGTCCTCGTCCTCCTCCCTCCTGCTCCTCCTCCTCCTTCCTCCTCCCCTCCTCTCCCTTCCTCCTCCTCCTCCTCCTCCTCCTCCTCCTCCATAAATCCTCCTCCTCCCCTCCCTCCTCCTCCTCCTCCTCCTCCTTCCCTCCTCCTCCTCCTCACTCCCCCGCCTCCTCCGCCTCCCCTCCCCTCCTCCTCCTCCTCATCCTCCGCCTCCTCCTCCTCCTCCCCCTCCTCCTCCTCCTCCTCCTCCTCCTCTCCTCCTCCTCCTACTCCTTTCCTCCTCCTCCTCCCCTCCCCCTCCCCCTCCCCCTCCCCCTCCCCCATCCCCCTCCCCTCCCCCATCCCCATCCTCCTCCTCCTCCTCCTCCTCTCCTCCCTCATCCTCCTCCTCTTCATCGTATTATTCTTCTTCTTAGTATTATTATTATTCTTAGTATTCTGCTTATTATTATTATTCTTCTTATTATTACTATTCTTCTTAAGCTTATTCTTCTTATTATTATTATTATGATTGTTCGTCTTATTCTTCTTCTTATTAGTCCTCTTATTATTCTCATTATTATTCTTCTTCTTCTTATCATTACTATTATTCGTCGTATTCGTCTTATTATTCATATTATTATTCTTCTTGTTATTATTATTATTAATATTAGTATTATTAATATTAGTATCATTATTATTACTATTATTATTATTATTATTATTATTATTATTATTATTAGTATTATTATTATTATTATTATTATTAATAGTATTATTACTTTTCTTATTCTTCTTATTATTATTAGTAGTATTATTCTTAGTCTTCTTATTATTCTTCTGCTTCTTCTTATTATTAGTATTCGTACTAGTATTCTTATTATTCTTCATATTGTTCTTAGTCTTATTCTTCTTATTAACAGTACTCTTACTATTATTCTTATTATTCTTATGTGTCTTATTATTATTATTATTATTCCTCCTCCTCCTCCTACTCCTCCTCCTCCTCCTCCTCCTCCTCCTCCTTCCTCCCCCTCCTCCTCCCCTCCTCCTCCTCCTCCTCTCTCCTCCTCCTCTCCCCTCCTCCTCCCCCTCCTCCTCCTCCTCCTCCTCCTCCTCCTCCTCCGCCTCCCTCCTCCTCCTCTCCTCCTCCTCCCCCTCCTCCTCCCCCTCCTCCTCCTCCCCCTCCTCCTCTTTCCTCTCCTCCTCGTTCCTCCTCGTCCTCCTGTCCTCCTCGTCCTCCTCGTCCCCCGTCCTCCTCGTCCTCCTCCTCCTCCTCCTCCTCCTCCTCGCCCTCCTCTTCCTCCGAACCTTCCCGAGCGCCCCCTGTGCGGCGTAGAAGGTCTGCAGTGCCCCCAGCGCGACGAGGCTGAGGCCGCGCTCGCCGCTGGGCACCCTGTCCGCGTGCCTCTGGGGCGACGCGCCCGGGGGAGAAATCAGCAAGAACGGGCCTTGCGAGGCTTCCAAGAAGGCCGCCAGCTTCGTGAGAAGGTCTCTCTCCTCCTCCTCCTCCTCCTCCTCCTCCTCCTCCTCCTCCTCCTCCTCACTCCACCTCCTCCTCGTCTTCCCTCGTCCTCCTCTCCTCGTCCTCCTCGTCCTCCTCGTCCTCCTCCTCCTCCTCCTCCTCCTCCTCCTCGTCCTCCTCCTCCTCCTCCTTTTCCTCCTCCTCTTCCTCGTCCTCCTCGTCCTCCTCGTCCTCCTCGTCCCCCTCGTCCTCCTAGTCCTCCTCGTCCTCCTCGTCCTTCTTGTCCTCCTCGTCCTCCTCGTCCTCTCCTCCTCCTTGTCCTCTCCTCCTCCTCCTCCTCCTCCTCCTCCTCCTCCTCCTCCTCTCCTCCTCATCATCCTCCTGCTCCTCCCCGCCTCCTCCTCCTCATCCCTCCTCCTCCTCCTCGATCCCTCCTCCTCCTGCAACTCCTCCTCCTCCTCCTCCTCCTCCTCCTCATCCCTCCTCCTCCTCCTCCTCCTCCTCCTCTTCCTGCTCCTCCTCCTCCTCCTCCCGGGATGCCGTTGGAGGCTCGCCGCCACTCCTCGCAGCAGGGCGCGGATCACTTTCGAGAGGCGTTGGAACCACGACAGGACGAGGATGCCCTTGCGAGGCCTTCTGCGAAGTTCTCTCCCCTTCTCAGAAAAATACCCTGTGACGCACCCAACTCATTTGTATCAATGGAAACAAGGAGTTGGCCGAAACTTGCATGGACAATCAACTTGATGTGTAAGCTACTTGGGAGGCGTCACTGTGCTGGGCCCCGCAAGCAGGCCTCGAATGTGGCGACGGTTTCACAGATCGCAGCCCCCCAGGGATGGCGAGGTCTAATTTGAATCTGCGTGTGGCGTCGCTGTGCTGGGCCCCCCAGCAGGCCTCGAAAGTGGCGACAGTTTCGCAGATCGCAGCCCCCCAGGGATGGCGAGGTCCAATATGAGTCCGCCGTGGGTGCCCACTGTGCTGGGCCCCCCAGCAGCCCTCGAAAGTGGCGACGGTTTCACAGATCGCAGCCCCCCAGGGATGGCGAGGTCCACTTTGAGTCCGCCGTGGGTACCCACTGTGCTGGGCCCCCCAGGAGGCCTCGAAAGTGGCGACACTTTCACAGATCGCAGCCCCCCAGGGACGGCGAGGTCCCATTTGGATCCGCCGTGTGTACCCACTGCGCTGGGCCCCCCCCAGCAGGCCGCGAAAGTGGCGACGGTTTCACAGATCGCAGCCCCCCAGGGATGGCGAGGTCTCGTTTGAATCCGCCGTGTGTACCCACTGTGCTGGGCCCCCCAACAGGCCGCGAAAGTGGCGACAGTTTCACAGATCGCAGCCCCCCAGGGCTGGCGAGGTCCCATGTGGATCCGCCGTTGGTACCCACTGTGTTGGGCCCCTCAGCAGGCCTCGAAAGTGGCGACAGTTTCACAGATCGCAGCCCCCCAAGGATGGCGAGGTCCCATTTGAATCCGCCGTGGGTACACTCTGTGCTGCCCCCCCCCCCAACAGCCCTCGAAAGTGGCGACGGTTTCACAGATCGCAGCCCCCCAGGGACGGCGAGGTCACATTTGAACCCGCCGTGGGTGCCCACTGTGCTGGGTCCCCCAGCGGCCCTCGAAAGTGGCGACAGTTTCACAGATCGCAGCCCCCCAGGAATGGCGAGGTCCAATTTGAATCCGCCGTGGGTGCCCTCTTTGCTGGGCCCCCCAGCAGGCCGCGAAAGTGGCGACAGTTTCGCAGATCGCAGCCCCCCAGGGATGGCGAGGTCCGATATGAATCCGCCGTGGGTGCCCACTGTGCTGGGCCCCCCAGCAGGCCTCGAAAGTGGCGATAGCCTCACAGATCGCAGCCCCCCAGGGATGGCGAGGTCCAATTTGAATCCGCCGTGGGTACACTCTGTGCTGCCCCCCCCAACAGCCCTCGAAAGTGGCGACAGTGTCGCAGATCGCAGCCCCCCAGGGATGGCGAGGTCCCATTTGAACCCGCCGTGGGTACCCACTGTGCTGGGCCCCCCAGCAGGCCTCAAAAGTGGCGACGGTTTCACAGATCGCAGCCCCGCAGGGATGGCGATGTCAAATTTGAATCCGCCGTGTGTACCCACTGCGCTGGGCCCCCCAGCAGCCCTCGAAAGTGGCGACAGTTTCGCAGATCGCAGCCCCCCAGGGATGGCGGGGTCTCATTTGAATCCGCCGTGTGTACCCGCTGCGCTGGGCCCCCCAGTAGGCCTCGAAAGTGGCGACAGTTTCACAGATCGCAGCCCCCCAGGGATGGCGAGGTTCAATTTGAGTCCGCCGTGTGTACGCTCTGTGCTGGGCCCCCCAGCAGCCCTCGAAAGTGGCGACAGTTTCGCAGATCGCAGCCCCCCAGGGATGGCGAGGTCCAGTTTGAATCCGCAGTGTGTACCCACCTGTGCTGGGCCCCCCAGCAGGCCTCGAAAGTGGCGACAGTTTCGCAGATCGCAGCCCCCCAGGGATGGCGAGGTCCAATTTGAGGCCGCCGTGTGTACCCACTGTGCTGGGCCCTCCAGCAGGCCTCGAAAGTGGCGACAGTTTCACAGATCGCAGCCCCCAGGGATGGCGAAGTCCAGTTTGAGTCCGCCGTGTGTACCCTCTGCGCTGGGCCCCCCAGCAGCCCTCGAAAGTGGCGACAGTTTCGCAGATCGCAGCCCCCCAACTGGCATGCAGCGACGAGCGAGGCAAAAGGCAAGGGGGGAAGAGAGGGGCGGGAAGGAAGGAAGGAAGGAAGGAAGGAGACGCGCGAGCAGTGCTGTATTCAAAACGAGAACCCAACGCAGGAGGGTTGGGAATTAAACTTAGGAAACTCCTGAGAAGGCGGGAGGGCTTCACAGAAGTCTCCCGGCCTCCTCGGAAAGCCTGCCCCGTATCACTTCCTCCCTGCACTGCCCTTGAGGCGTCGCGCACCTAGACTCAGAATCCATTTGTGTGCCCCTTCAGGAGATCCATCCGACGCAGCTCTTCGCCCCAAATCCGTTCCCGATGGCCCCGGGGCCGAAACAAGGCACTCGGGGGCCAAAGCGGACGAAAAACCTGAAACCTTGAAGTCGAGCCTCGAACGCACCCCCCAGGGCCCGCTGGCGAGCCTCTGGACCGGCGTCGTCAGGGGCGCCACGGACGGCCTGGCCTGCTGCTGCAGGCGGCCCAGGAGAGCCGCGGCGAGAGCTCCAACCCCCTCCGCCTCCTCGCCGCGGCCGCCCTCAGCAGGGCGATCGGCCTCGGCAGAAGCATATTTCCTGGATTTTAGCTGAACCCCGACCCTGGCGCGCGGGGCGCGCCAAGGACAGGGTTCAGCCGAAATCGGACGAATTATCCGGACTTGTTGTCATATTGTTTTTTCAATCCGACCGTGTTCGGTTCTTCCAAAATGTTGCTCCCGCTGCAGCGGTGGCATCATTTTTGGGTTTCCGCTTCATCCGAAAAATCCTCCCGCGTATTGTGCTTGTGCGAGGGTTTAGTCGAACCGTGAGAAAAATACGGTACGTAAAAACAACACGTAAACACAATACGAAACGTGAGACAAAATAACGTGTAAAAAACAATGCGCAAAAACAAGACGCAAAACAATGCGCAAAAACAATACGTAAAAACAATACGTAAAAACAATGCGTAGAAACAACACGCACAACAATACGTAAAAACAATACGTAAAAAAATATCCCGGCAAAGCAACCTAACAGCGATGTGTAGGAGCATATTTGGAAGCATTCCCCTTAAGATTCAAATGAGAACCCAGTTGTAGAATTCTGCTGTTCTCGCAGTCGTAGTCGCATTCGCGATGACAGTCGCAGTGGCAACGGCAGTCGCAGTCACAGCCTCAGCCTAAGTCTGCCTCAGCCTCAGCCTCAGCCTGCATGAGCCTCAGCCTCAGCCTGCTTCAGCCTCAGCCTCAGTCTGCCTTCAGCCTCGGTCTCAGCCTCAGCCTGCCTCAGCCTCACCCTGCATCAGCCTCAGCCTCAGCCTCAGTCTGCCTCAGCATCAGCCTGCATCAGCCTCAACCTCAGCCTGCCTCTGCCTCAGCCTCAGCCTGCTTCAGCCTCAGCCTCAGTCTTCCGTCGGCCTCGGCCTCAGCCTCAGCCTGCCTCAGCCTCAGCCTGCATCAGCCTCAGCCTCAGCCTCAGCCTGCCTCAGCATCAGCCTGCCTCAGCCTCAGCCTCAGCCTGCCTCAGCCTCAGCCTCAGCCTCAGCCTGCTTCAGCCTCAGCCTCAGTCTGCCTTCAGCCTCGGCCTCATCCTCAGCCTTAGCCTCAGCCTCAGCCTGCATCAGCCTCAGCCTCAGCCTCAGCCTCAGCCTGCCTCAGCATCAGCCTGCCTCAGCCTCAGCCTCAGCCTGCCTCAGCCTCAGCCTCAGCCTCAGCCTGCTTCAGCCTCAGCCTCAGTCTGCCTTCAGCCTCGGCCTCAGCCTCAGCCTGCCTCAGCCTCAGCCTGCATCAGCCTCATCCTCAGCCTCAGCCTGCCTCAGCATCAGCCTGCTTCAGCCTCAGCCTCAGCCTACCTCAGCCTCAGCCTCAGTCTGCTTCAGCCTCAGCCTCAGTCTGCCTCCAGCCTCGGCCTCAGCCTCAGCCTGCCTCAGCCTCAGCCTGCCTCGGCCGCAGCATCAGCCTGCCTCAGCATTCAAAATGTGGCCCAGGAGTGGAGTTCTGGAGGCTAGAAGAACACGAAGTGGCCTACAGTTGGCTCCGGGCATTCAAAATCATGCCCAAGAATGGAGTTCTGGGAACTTGAAGAGCACGAAGTGGCCTACAGTTGGCTCCGGGCATCCAAAATGTGGCCCGGGAGTGGAGTTCTGGGAACTCGAAGAACACGAAATGGCCTACAGGTGGCCCCGGGCAATCAAAATGTGGCCCGGGATAATGTTTTGGGAAATCCAAGAGCACGAAGTGGCCTACAGTTGGCTCCGGGCATCCAAAATGTGGCCCGGGAATGGAGTTCTGGCAAGTCGAAGAGCACGAAGTGGCCTACAGTTGGCTCCGGGCATCCAAAATGTGGCCCGGGAATGGAGTTCTGGGAAGACGAAGAGCACGAAGTGGCCTACAGTTGGCTCTGGGCATTCAGAATGTGGCCCGGGAATGGAGTTCTGGGAGGTCGAAGAGCACGAAGTGTGTGACTGTTTGCGAAAAACGAATTCGGACCCAGCTCCCCGGATGCCGCCCAGACCCCCTGGGGAGTCATGATGCTCTTTTGACCCTATTAGAAACCTATCAGTCTTTGCTGTTAGGTAGGAGAGTAGTATTTATATTGTGAATTGTCGTGGGGGTCAGGATCAAGGAGGGGGGGCGGGGCGGGAGGCGGGGAGGGGGCAGGGGGCGGGATGTCAACTGGAGGTTGCCTCCAATCCCTCCTCCTCCCTCCTCCTCACCCCCCCTTCCTCCTCGTCCTCCTCATCCTCCTCTTTTCTCCTTCCTCCTCTTTCCTCATTCCTCCTCTTTCGCATCTCTCTTCCGACTGATTGCCCCTCATCGTCCAACCTTCCCGTCCCCCACCCCCTCTTTTTCTCGTTCTCGCCTCCCCTCCTCCTTCTCCTTTTCCTCCTCCCCCTCCTCCTCCTACTCCTCCTCCTCCTCCTCCTCATCCTCTTGTTCCTGCTCCTCCTCCTCTCCTCCTCCCCCCCCTCCACCCTCCTCCCCCCGGCGAGCTGGCAGTGCCCCAGCCTGCGACCGGTAGGACGCCATGCAGCAACCCATCTCGATGCTTGCAGAGGGCGGGGTCGCCAGCGACTTCCAAGTTGCAATCAACTGCGGAAGCTTGAACCAACAACGCAGTGGCCACGTTCCCATGCCCCTCCTTCCTTCAGTCCTCCTTATGCACTCCTGCTCGCTTTTAGTTTAGCGACTGCCTCTTCGACGCGACCCTCGACCATTCTCCAGGACCCAGCCGCCTCTCGGGATACCGAGGCGCCCGATGACCAGCCGCCAGAAACTGCGCCGTCGGATCGTCGGTGACTGGCGTGCAACAGGCCCAGCTCAACGCAAACCCACCTCGGCCAATTTTGAAGAACCGCGCTGCAAAACCGCTGCACGCTGCTGCTTTGAAGCGTGTTCCCAGGAGACCCGTCTCGGTCACCAAAAGAATTTCCATCGTTTCCTGCCCGGGTGGCTGGCAGAGAACATAGGACGGCGATGGCCCCAATCCCATGCCTGGCATGATCTTGCTCTCCTTAAGCTTCAACTTCATACCAGACGCTGCAAGCCGATGGGCAAGTTGTGAAATCATCTCCACGGCCCACGGCCTGGTCCACACCTATGCAAACATATCAACTCTCTGTACCCTCGGCGCGGTCCGCCAATAACAAAAACCCCATCTCTTTGGATCCCCATATGTGCATCTCATTCTCTTGGTACGTCATCGAGTCGGATAGAAAACTCGAAGGAGGAGGGGGAGGAGGAGGAGGAGGAAGAGGAGGAGGACGACGAGGAGGACGACGAGGAGAACGAGGAGGACGACGACGAGGAGAACGAGGAGGAGGACGGGGAGGAGAACGAGGAAGACGACAAGGAGAACGAGGACGACGACGACGACGACGACGACGAGGAGGGAGAGGGCGGCCGGAGGCAGCTTCTGTGCCCCCCGGGGCCCCTCGGAGCCGCTGCGTGCAGCTCGGCCGACTGGCGCGGCGACGCCATCAAACCGCCAGGCCGCTGGACTTCGTCGTCGTCGTCGTCGTCGTCGTCGTCGTCGTCCGTCGTCCGTCGTCCGTCGTCCGTCGTCCGTCGTCCGTCGTCCGTCGTCCGTCGTCCGTCGTCCGTCGTCGTCGTCGTCGTCGTCGTCGTCGTCGTCGTCGTCGTCGTCCGTCGTCCGTCGTCCGTCGCCCGTCGTCGTCGTCGTCGTCGTCGACGTCGTCGTCGTCGTCGTCCGTCGATGTTGTCGTCGTCGTCGAGGAGTGAGACGAAGAGGAACGAGAGGAGAAAGAGGAAGAGCAGGACGTTAGGGCATGTACCCAGACCGCTTTCGCCAGTGCGCAGCGTACAGCGAAGGGTTAAAAGCGAAACGAATTCAACTGTTTAAAATCTGCGTTTAAACAGTCGATCCTCTCAGTGAGGCCGTCCTTTGCGGATCCGACTGAATATACAGGTTAAATTAGCCATGCAAACAAGTGCTCAATGTTTATCCCAGCTGATCCTCTCAGTGAGGCCGGATTTTGCGCCTCCAGCTGGTTTAAACACAAAAATTGAACATATGTATTCACCCTCACTCGCGTTGATTAGCAGAGGGAGGGAAGGAAGGGAGACGCACCGTTTTGGCGACGACCACGAGCACAGCCGCAGGCTCTCCGCCCGCCCATTCCTCGATGGGCGGGAACAGTTAAAAGTTGAGGGGTGGGTGGTGGAAAAGGCACAAGCTAGCTGAAACAGCTGCGGGAGGGAAGGAAGAGGAGGAAGACAGGGGAGCAGCCGTTGCACTGCCGTGGGTGAATATCCCTGTTTACCAAGCCTAAACAAAACTCTATTCACCCTCATTCGCGTTGATTAGCAGAGGGAGGGAAGGAAGGGAGACGCACCGTTTTGGCGACGACCACGAGCACAGCCGCAGGCTCTCCGCCCACGCCCGTCCCGGGCCGCTCCCCAGGGGGGTCGCCCTAACGGCGCCCACCCTCCCTCCAAACAAAAATGGCCCAAGGGGTCCGCCAATGAAGGAAGGCGGGCCCGCCATCACCCCGCGCAAAACCCTGGGTGCCAAGCGCACTAATCACAGTAGCGCGGCACCGCAACTAGCTGCAGCTGCAGAGGGGTAACGCGAATACTGGAAACAGTATTGCAGAAAACAGAATCCGCCCCTCCGGGGGGCACTGCGGGGCGGGGCTGCGGAAGGCCAACTCCCCGGGCGCACAGGGTCACCACTGCGGCGCACCGGATCCAGCACCGTACCAACCGTTCCCGCCGCAGCTCTTCCGCTCCCCGGAGGGGGGCCTTCCACGGGCTACATCAACTGGGCGCCGTCAAAAACGGCGGGTTCCCCCAGATTGGAGCCCGAGGGGTTCGCAAGGCCGCAAGCTTGGTGCCAGCTGCTTGCGGGAAAAACAGGCATACGGTGAGGGGGCAGCACCCCTCCGCTTACTCATGCTACGGCCAGCCCGCCATGGCTTCCCCGGGCATCCCCCCTCCCCAGCTCACCGCCCCGCCAACCGGGTGGGGCTGGGAGGGGGCCCGAGCGGCAGAGGGACAACGCTGTTCCCGCCGGCACTCCTCCGGGTCAGCTGCGCGCGTGGTATTCTTCCGGGGGCTCCTCCCGGAACTTGACCCGCCCCCCCCCCTTCTCGGGTGGGGTCTGCCCCAGGCGGTTCGAGCTCCCCAAGGTGAGGTTGTAGTTCTGGGCGGACATCGCCTCCGAGAGGCCCTTCTGGGGTTCGTGCGCCTCCCAGAGGTACGCGTGGAAGGCACCCGACCTCCACCTCCCGAACCGCTTGAGCCGCTCCAGGTCCGGCATGGCGTGGTACATGGCCGTGGCGCCTCCGATCCTCAGGGAGCGGCCCCCGATGTGCGAGGGATGTATCCCCACCGCCTTCGCCGCCTGGCCCAAGAGGTCGGTGATGTCCTTCCGCCGGATGGGGTTCCCATCCCCGTCTCGGAAGAGAGGGAGGTCTCCCTCCGAGGTCCACCGCTGGGGCGCCAGCCTCTCTTGCTCGGCGAGGGCTCCGACAGGGCAAAGGGGATTGCCCGTGGCGTAGTGGTTGCGGCAGCATCCGAAATTGCACTGGTCGGTCTTGCCCCCCTTGATGTAGATAACCACCTCGTCCGCGGACGCGAAGGTGGGGCAGACCGCGCCCTCCCTCCTCGGGGTGAGGCGCCTCAGGCGCGGGCCCCTTGCCCCCCTCTCAGTCCACGTCGCCCCCGTCGGGGGGGTGGTGCTGGAGGGGGCGAGGGAGCCCCCAATCCCCCGCGTCCGGGGCCCCAGCAAAGGGGGAGCGGGCCCCGCCAAGTGGGGGCCGCCCAGCAGGCCTGCACCTCCGCTTTGCGGGGCCCCTCCGGGTGGTCCTCCAGCCCGGGCCCCGCGGGCCTCTCGGAGCCACCGCTCGTAAGCAGTCCGGGGGTCCTCGGGGTTAGCCTTCCAGGCGCTGAACCACGTCGCGTTGGCCGCGGCCATGAAGTCCCCATCAGGATCTCGGCACACCCCTGCCCGGGCTCCCTCCGCGAGGAGGCCCTCCCTCGCGCTGGCCGCTGCCCATGGCACTTGGTGCGCGGAGACGGGTGGCATGGAGCGGGCGGCACCCATGGGGAGCACCTCCTCGGGGACCCCCGCTCGGGTTCCCTCCCGCCAATCGTGAAGGAGGCCCCCGGAAATCTGCCAGGCCTCCTTGGGGTCGAAGCGCCTCCCCCGAGGGGTGCCATCCCCCCGCGTATCTTCCAATAGCACGGGGTAGTGCCCGGAGACCTCGTCAGGGTGCCAGAGTGGGTAGTCGGGCCCGCTGCTCATCGGGCTAAGGATGACCCTGACGTCCCCCTCCGACTCCCGGGTGCTCTTCCAGGTCCCGGCCGCCTGGAGGGCGGTGGGGCGCCCTCCCTCCCCGCGGTCGGCCCTCTTCGGGACCTTGAAGTGGCGCCAGTGGGCCCTCCCCTCCTCCTCCTGCATGTAGAGCTCCGGAGGGACCGCCTCGGGCGTCAACAGGGCGCTGCTGAGGTTCAGTGGGACCAATCGCTCGCCCCGCCGCAGGAGCGCGAGCGCGGCGCTCCCCCAGTTCCCCCCGTCTCTCCAGGCAAGGAGGAGGCGGCGCGACCTGGCGCACCGGTCCCCAAGGAGGTGGGTGTGCACCACGCTCTCCGCAGTGTCGTATCCACCCTCCTGCAAGACCTCGCGGGCCCCCCCCAGATCCTGGTCCAGGGGTCCGTCCAGCGCGACGAAGGTGGCGGCGTGGGAGAGCGCGTACCGCACGAAGTAGAGGGCCTCTCGGCCGGTGGGGTCGCTGCCACTGGAGCAGGTGACCCAAGTCTCCTTCACCGCGGTCCTGGCCCGCCCGGCCCGGTCGGCCACGAGTCGATTCTGGTGGACCTCCCACCAGGGGTGGCTCACGGCTGAACCGGGATTGGGGGTGGTGGCTCCGATCCGTGCCCCCATCTCTCCGGCCACCCGGCAGTAGGGGGAGAGGGTCGCACGCCACTCGAAGACCTGCACCCCGGCCAAGGGTCCGGCGGGCGGTCCCCGCGCCCAGCGGCGCTCCACCAGCTGGTAAGCCAGCCGGCGTCCCTCCTCCGAGTCTCCAGGGAGGACCAAAGGGCGGCCTTTCTCCGCCCCCGCGAGCACCTCCCTCCAGGGTCCCTTGAGGTCGATCTCTTCCAAGCCGAGGCGGTTCATCTCCTCCTGGACTACGCTCTTCGTCTCCCGGGAGATGAGGTCCATGCTGCTGTTGTGCTTGGTCCAAATTCCCGCCGTAACCGTGTGGAACCCGTAGCGGGTCTCCAGGAGCTGGAGGAGGCGCAGTCCGTAGCGGGCGAGGCGGTTCTTCGCCGTCCGCTTGTTGAGCCAGATATCCGTGTTGGTGTTGTCCGTGACGTAGAGGACCAGGCGCCCCTCCCATCTCGGGGCCTGGGCCACCGCGAGCACCAGGAAGGTAAACAGCTCGCAGATGGCGATGATGTCGGCTCCCTCCCCAAAAACCGCGTGGAACGGCTCCATGACCTCCTTGACATCCATGACCCCGTACACCCCGTTTGACCAGTCGGCGGCCCCCACCCGGGTC